AATCATTTCCTTTGTAGAGAATTTTTTGCTCTCTTATAATAATTCCCAAGTATAGAACAATAAGTATTTTACTATAATTATCTTCAGAGATTCATAGTGGATTCTCTCTCTCACCTTTAAAATCAAATTGTATAATGCCATCTTCATGTGCTTCATTTATGTTTCTGTAAAATCATTAAATTCAAGGGTCTGAAAATAAACAATTTTAACTGTCATCCTAAGTTGCTCAATACGAAATATAAATACTGCCATTTGAATTTTTTCAAACCTTTTTGAGAAGGAAAAACTAACATATTTGACATCAAGTTTACAAGTACTATTATTTCTTTTTTCTTTACTTTTTTTTGAGATGAAGGTTCACACTTGCTACCTAGGCTGTAGTGCAGTAGCATGATCTGGGCTCACTGCAGCCTCCTCCTCCTGAGTTCAAGTGATTCAATTCTCCTGCCTCAGCCTCCCGAGTAACTGGGACTACAGTCACATGCCACCATGCCTGGCTAATTTTTGTATTTTTAGTAGAGACAAAGTTTCACCATGTTGGCCAGGCTGGTTTCGAACACCTGACGTCAGGTGATCTGCCAGCCTCGGCCTCCCAAAGTTCTGGGATTAGAGGTGTGAGCTGCCACGCCCTGCCTATATCTGACTTAAAATATTATTTTTGTTCTTTTTCTCAGTGTAATAGTTTGACCAGTTTATGCCTATTATAATTTTTGAAGTCTATTTAAAGAATAAGGCACTAAAGTGAATAGTGTGAGGTTTATGATTAGCTTAGAGAAGATGTCTGAAGATCTGGAAGTGGTAATGGCTTTGTCTTATTAAATCAGATTTCCCTGTTCTTAGGGACAAAGTGCACACAATAGAAAACTGATATAGCCTTACTTTGGTACCTGCCTTTTGTCTGTTAGCTTGTCCTCAATGCTGGAAATCTGAAGAGGAGAATACACTTTAGTAGAAAGACTATTTGAAGGTATCATTTGGGTTTATGATGAGTTTATTGGACATGTTAGGGTCAGATGGTAAAAATCTTACCTTCACCCAGCAGTTAGCATTTATGGAGCAAGTTGCTAAAAAGTGCTTTAATGGGCTGAGGAATTAATGTATTTGTTATTAAGGTCTATGGGAAATCTTTTTCCAAGTGTACATAGAATAATGTAAACTTTAAATATTTGCATCGATTATTTCAATTACAGATGAAAAATAGCAGCAACAGCAGCAGTGACAGCAGCAACAGTGGGAGGGTGACCATAAAATTTATTTGCACAAACTGGGATATTTTTGAAAATGGAAGCAGGTGCTACTTATGAAGGGCAGGGCAGCCAGTTTAAACCAGAACATTTGATAACCCTAAGTAAGAGTAGTAATAGCAGAAGTGTAGTGATAATGCATAATTCCATAATCCAATTGGTCCAGTCCAATAAGGATAATAGTCACACACACACACACACACACACACACACACACACACACTCCGGTGTCTAAAAGAAATTTGGTTATTCACAACAGATAAGATTTGGAATCAACCTAAGTTTCTATCAACAGGTGAATGGATAAAGAAAATGTGATAACTATAGTAATATTCCATTGTGTGTATATACATTCATCTTTAAAAAAGGAGATTTGTCATTTATCACAACATGGATGAACCTGGGAGACATTATGCTAAGGTAAATAAGTTAGGCATAGAAATACAAATGCTTTATGATCTCACTTATGTAGTCATCCCTCAGTATCCATGGAAGACTGATTCCAGAATTTCCTGCAGATACCAAAATCCATGGATGGTCAAGTTCCTTATATAAAAATGGTGTAGTATTTGCACATAACCTATACATCCTCTTGTATACCTTAAGTCATTTCTAGATTACTTATAATACCTAATAGAATGTAAATGTTACATAAATAGTTGTTTTACTATATTGTTCAGGGACTAATACAAGAGAAAAAAGTCAGAACATAGTCAGTACAGATACAGCCATCTTTTTTTCCAAAGATTTTCAATCTGTGGTTGGTTGAATCCATGGATGTGGCACTCATGGGTACAGAGGACTGACTGCATGTGTCATTGAAAACAGTTGAAGTCATAGAATCAGAGAGTCGAATGGCGGTTTCCAGTGGGGATAGGATGGGGGTGATTGGGAGCTGCTGGTCAAAACAAAGTTTCAATTGTGCAGAATGAATGAGTTCTGGGGCTCTAATGTGCAGCATGATGACTAAGGTTAACAGTACCATATTGTATACGTGAAATTTTATACTAAGAGAGTAGATTTTGACTGTTCCCACCAGAAACACATACACACACACAAAGGTAACTGTGTGAAGTGATGGATGTGTTAATTAGCTTGCATGTGGTGATCATTTCACAATGCACACATATATCAAAACATCATATTGCACACTGTAAATATACATAATTTTTGTTTATCGATTTTTCCTCAATAAAGCTGAAAAAAGCAAAATATTGGAAATAATCAAGTTCTTTACTTACATTTCTTGAATTCCATGAAGAACACAAAAGCATACTATGAGAACATAACTCCAAATCTCCTTTTTCCTTTCAACAAACTTGGACAAATTTCCTCACATACCAGACCAGCTCCTTTCTCCTCAGGACCTCTTATTTAAAGTGCCTAAAATCTGTCTTGGCTTGTACCCTTCTTTTTTTTTGTGTGTGTGTTTTTTCCCCTCCCATTTATGTTTATTCTGCAATACATAAGCCCCAGTGATCTAGTCTGGCAAGTCCATACCCTTCTGGGGGAACCAGAGGAGAAGAAGAAACTAAGCTGGCAAAGTGTAATCCTCTTAGCAGCCAGAGAGTGGGCAAAGCTGCTAATAGTCATCTATTAATAGTCTTGGTCCTGTGCCAGTAGCTTATATTAACAGAGAATCTTCTTTATACCTGGTGCTGTGATAAAATTAAAACTCTCACCTAAATCTCACAATGGCCATTGAAATGGGTGCTCTTGATAGCCCCGTTTTGCAGGGGAGAAGACTGAGGCTAAGATAGGAGAGTTGCTCCAGTGATGGAGCCAGGAGATAAACCTGGCAGCTTGTTACAGAACTGATGCTTTTAGATAGCACGTTTACAGCAAAGCTTTGACCTGATGTCAGTGGGATTGCTTAATGGTAATAAAAATCCTTACTCTAAATGCTCTATAATAAAACATGCCAAGCTGTAAGCATATGCTAATGCTGGAAAATGTTCTTTCTGATTTTGAAGATCCCTCTGGTGTGAATGGGTTATCTAGAAGAGATCTTTCTGATAAATGAGTTTAATATGAAAATAAATGCATATGAATTCATGTTCTTTGGAACACTTACGAAAAAGTGAACAGAACACACAGTGAGAATGGGCTATTTTTCATTCAGTTGGAAGGGGTTGTCATTAGCTGAGTTTCGCTGCTTTTGCCAGAAAGACATCAACCATTTTTAATGCTCAGACTATTTTTTATGACTGCCTGAAGGATATCAGATGAGCCGTCTGTTGTAAATCAATAATAATTTGCTCTAGAGTAATGAGGAACTAAAACTGTTTCTAATAAATCTCCAAATACTTAGCATACTTCAAAAACCAATCATTTCATGAGAATTAGGTTTCTTCTCTGTCCTTAAGAAAGAGCTGAGGGTGGAGGGAGGAAGAAAAACTAGCCAAACATTCTGGAATAACAGAGAAATGTGAAAACAGTGAATGAAAGTATTATGAATTCCAAGGCTTTGTTTTGTAATCTCAGCTGTTAAGCAGCGTGCTCTGTGGTGCAAATTGGTACAACTTATAGCAAGTCAGATGCCACTGTGCAGTTTCTTTAGAAAAGTCCATTGGCTACTTCATGTTTGATCATAGCCTTCAATATCAATTAAGTAACTAGAATATATTGAAAATAGCTGAATTCTAGTCAAATCGTAACCTCTGCCTCCTGGCAGTGCTCTGCAATGATTGGGTAACTGGAGCATGTCTTGGAATGTGGATGGATGGGTCCTGCTGTCTGTCTAGTCTTTTTTTGGTATTTAGAATGCATCACGGGAAAAGAAAAATGTAAGCTCAATCCATCCATTAATTTGATACTGTTATAAGTATGTTTTTCCTGGGGACTCTCTTATGAAATTGGAAGGGGTAAAGAAATCCATTGCGGAGGGGAGGAGAGAAACGTTTTTTCCCCTAATTGTGTCTGTGTGATTCTAAAGTTATGCCAAAATCTTAAGAGTTAATCTAGTGGTTAATAAACTGCTGTCATTGCTGTCATCAGACAAAGGAAAGCAAATGATTACTTGTAGAATCCCTGCCCCCTAATCTCCGGGTTATTTTGTGGAAGGAATGAAAATAGTAAGGAATAGTGTGGCGGGACAATGGTGTCCTCTGAGCTGGGTTTCCTGTCTCTAACAGAGCTTTCCCTTTAGCAAGTTGCAGTGAATGTAAGAATTTCAGTTTCTGGGTATTCTAATGCAGGGAAAATATTCTCCATTCTATTTTATCCAACAGTAAATACAATGTCTTTATTTATTGGTCACTTTGTAAAATGGAGTGATTTTTGAAGGAGGAGAAAAGGCTTAATTTCAATAATGGGACTGTATAAAATCAGCCAGGAGACTGGCAAAGATCTGACCCTATTTTTGCTCTTACTTCATACTTAGGCTTGTATTACTAGATGATATTTCTCTGATAGCTTGATGTGGTCGTGTGTCCGAGCTCTGTGTAATGTAAGGTGAGCAAAAGTGTTGGGTGGGACTTCCAGGCCTGGCTCATAAAACCCTCTCAAGTGCCATCTCCTTTCCCTTTTCCCATGAGCTGGCTGAATGATGAGGGCCCCTAAGACCCAGGAGAGGAGAGATTCACAAGTGGAAGGTACCCAAGACCCTGGATGATCACCTGGAAGCCTACCCTGCCAGAAAAATCCGTTACTGGCTAGTGACAGGCATGATAATTAAAGCATTATTATGTTAAGCCCCTGAGATTTAGGGATTGCTTTTTATAGCAGCTAGCCTTGCTTACTTTATTAATACTGGATTGGTTTATGTCATGGCTAGGGTGATGGCCTTGTTTGATGATAATGATCCTGCTCTCTATGTAAGGTTGTCTTGACTCTGGTCCTGGCCTCTGCCTGTTAGTTTTTCTGCAGCAAAATGTAGAGTTTGCACCAAAACCTTTAAGATCAGTTAGGATTTTTTGGTTGTCAGAAACTCTGACAAACTTAAGCCAAAGGAATTTGTTGTGAGGACACAGGTGACTCACGGAATAAAAGATGCTGTTAGAGAACCAGAGAGGGCAAGAATTAGGGAAGATCCAGGAATCCAGGAAGCAAGAGGTACTTAAACATCTTGTCATGGGCTGCCTTTGAGATTTATAAGTATTTTCTATTCTTGCCTTTTGGTTAAATTTTGTTATGAAAAAAATTTTGTGTCTTAACACAACTACCTTTTCTTGGCTCATGTTTTTGTAGGTGGAAAATTTGGTCTGGACTAAGCTGAACTTTTCTACAGATCTGAGATAGACCAAGCCAGGCTCACTCATGCATCTGCCATCCCTGCCAGGTCAGTGATGGCTGGTCCATCTAAGACGGCCCAACTGGATGGTTTGTTTCTGCTTCATGTGGTCTCTCAGCTTCTATCAAATGAGCAAGGGCTTGTTAACACAGCAAGTGGGCAGGGATCCAAGAGGGGTGTAGAAATGTGCAAGGTCTCATGAGGCCCATGCTCAGAACCTTCACAGTGTCACTTCTGCTATATTCTATTGGCAAAAGCAAGTTACAAGGCCAGCCCAGATTTAAAGAGTGGGAGATAGCCTCCACCTCTTGAGGAGAGGAGCTGCCAGATTCATATGGCAAAGTGGAATAGATATGGGGCAGTTGTGGAGAAGAATGATGGCCATTTTTGCAATTCATCAAACCTCGCTTGGATCATATGTTCACTCCTTGAGTAGGGGAGGGCTGGCCAATTTCATACTCCTCCTAAGAGTGAGCCAAATATGGGAGAATTTAGTTCCCAAAAAGAAATAGAATGAAGGGGGAGATGTTCTGAGTCAGATAGATAGATCTGATTTGGAAACCTACCATCATTATCTAAATGTGTGACCTCAGCAAAACACAGAACTCTTAGGGCTACTTTCTCATCTCCATGGTGGGTTTAGTAACATTTTCTGATGAGGTTGTGAGAATTAGAGATTATAAAAGGAAGGGACACATACCATGTTATAAGTGGCATCCACTAACTTCTCACGTTTTCATCTTGAATTGACACAAGGAAATGAAGCGAGATGTGCCTGTTCTAGTTTTTCCTTCTGATTCTTCTGAAAATTAGGCAGGATAAGTTTTACACTAAGGCTCAACCTACTTTTGCTTTCCAGCATTTAGAAGCATTAGTCACCAAGATCTGTCTTTACCATTCTCAGGAATTAGGTTTGCTCCAGGGCTGTTTCAGTGGCCCATTGTATCCATAAGCTTTATCCTTCCTTATTGGTTGCGGGGCAGGGCTGTCATTCTGACTGACTGGAGCCCATGGAGCACTGGTTGTTAAATATTGTGAATATCCCCTTGGCTGTATCTAAGGAACACCCCACAACCTTAACAGAATTGTTCTTTTTTTCCCTGGGAAATACTGTGGCTTTATGGAAACTGAGGTAGCATTTATCTCAAAGGTGTTTGACAAATGTGTGTTGAATGAACATTGAGAGTGAATGAATAGGTAAATGAATGATTTTCTGTAATGTCTTAATTTCCTGGTGACAGCTTAAAAAAAAAAAAAGAAATGTCTTAATTAAGTGCAGACAATAATCTGTGTTGGAAAGCTGCTAGAAGAGATATTTCAGGGATGGAATTGCAGATGTAAACTATAACAAAATTGCATGTTTGCTTTATTTCTCTTTCTTCAGCCTGTTTATCTTTTCAGTCTCAACTAGCTCTTGAAATAAATAATACCGGGGTTCGCCATCTGGAGTGGAAAGCTGAATTTTATTAATTTGTTCTAAAACTAGCTGTTTTGAACTTTGGGGATTACGTGCAGGGAGTGTATCTCTTTGTTTTTAAGACTGAGATTTGGTGTACAGGTTGATGGTGGTTTTGCCAGTGGAATCCCAACGTGCATTAGGAATATAGGTTGGAATTAAAGTGGCATAACTGAGATACTACACTAATGACCACCATGACCTCTACCCACACCCCTGCTATCGCACCATGCACCCCCATGCTTTTTGAGTGTTAAAAGTGAATTTTTCACCCTCTTTACCATATTTTTCTACACTAGAGGGCTCTGGGTAATTGTAGCCAGTTTTTTCCAATTTGTGCTATGTTCTCTGCCATCCACTTGGAATTTTAAAGATGACAGGAAGAGGACAGAGAATGATTAGCAAAGGCCCTTTGAAGCAGCTGAGGTTTCATCATGACATAGCAGATTCTGTGTGCATAAAAAGATCCCACTTGGAATACCCGAATAATACACTGCTGGATTTTCATGGGGAGACCTCTAAGGCATTTATAACTGGGAAGGGGCACAAAGGTAGAGTGACTGTATCAACTGTAATACTAGTTTGTCTGAGACATTCAAGTCTACATCTTTTGTCCTATTATCTATCCAGGTCAGCATCTATCCAAGATATTTCCCCTTAAGTGAAAAATTATTATCAGTATTTGTGTTAGAAAAATCTGGGATAGACTTGGAAGACCTCTGCATGGTACTTTCACTTCTCCCATGGCCTTGCCTAAAAGTGAGTGAGATGCACATGGAATAAACAGAGTTTTCATTTCAACAAGTGGTCAAATCTGAAAAGAAACAGAGATGACCCATTTTTCTCTTCCTAACTCTTTCCAGATGCATCAAAATCAACATATTCCTTTCAAAGGCAGCATGCATTGTGTAGTCAGGCAGGAGTAGCTACTGTTGGGCAACTTTTTCTGAATATGGAGGTGGGAGAGGAACTCAAGGCTCTACTCCTATTGGACATTCAGTTTCCAGCCAGTTGTGCCATGGTCCTTGTGAGGCAGGCTGTCTGATGTTCACAAGGCGTGCTTCAAAGATATTAGTTAAGATGATTCCGTTAATGGGTTGATTGGTTTTTTTCCTCACCTAGTTCATGGAATTTAAGTAAAAGTTTTAGAAGTTCATTCTGACAAACAATATTTTTGTAAATGAGTGTCATGCCCAAAATCAGTTGGGACTCTTTAAATCAAAGTATTCAATGGATGAAGTGTCAAGAAGTCAGCAGTTGAAACTCTTAGGGAGGTGCAATTGTTGACAACAAAGCTTGCAGACAGGAAGATAATCAAATTTATTTCTACACGCTAAACATGTTAAACAGTAAAATCTCAAATGGCATGTACAATTTCCATTTCAAAGTCTATAATTATGCGATGGAAAAACTCAAGTTGTGTTAAGAATCTGTTGATAGAGCTCCTATTTTTAACTGAATAAAGTTGTATTCCATATACTGAAATAAAATAAAATTGAGAAGGTCTGTGATTCTGTAACATCTGTGTTTAACGAAACATTCAAAAGTATGATAACATTTTTTGATAAGTTTTGCTTGTAACATATTTGCCTAATATAAGTACTCTGAGGAGAGACAAAAAGTCAGTATATGTATAAATATTTTGAGGCTGAAATATTTTTATATTTTAGTAAAGAATAATAGTATTGTAATGGCCTTTGCTATGGATTGAGTTGTGTGTTCCCCAGATTCATAATTTGAAGGCCTACCTTACAATGTGACTGTATTAAGAGATAGAACTTTTCGGTGGTAATGAAAATGAAATAAGATCGTAAGAGTGGACCCAATAGAATAGAGCTTTCTCTTCCTCTCTCCCTTTGGGCACAGCAAGAAGTGGCTGTCTATAAGCCAGAAAGAGAACCCTCATGAGAAACTGAATCCGCTGGCATCTTGATCTTGAACTTCTTAGCCTCTAGAATGATAAGAAATAAATTTCTATTGTTTACTCAGTCTGTGGTATTTTGTTACAGAAGCTTGAGCTGACTTGTACAATATTCATTTAGCAAAACTTACTGTGAAGTTGGTTGGTATCACAGCCAATATCAAGGGATATTTTTTTCTTTAAAACAATAAAGAAATTCACATACTTTGATCATGTGATTTTATAAAGATTTCAGCATTTTATAAAAATAAGAAAAATAATAAGATAATATTGAAGACATATTAAAATACCAGTAATATGGTATGAGACCCATGTGGCTAAAAAGAACTCCAGTTAACATATATAAATATATACCAAGAAAAACTGTTTTGTTTATGTTATTTTTAATGTTCAGATATTGTATTTAAAAGAATTTTAGTATATATGGATATATTATATGTTGATTAAAAATATTATTTTTCAAAAATAGTTTTAGCCAGAGCTATTTTATAGTTCTACCAACAAATTAAAATCAACACATTAATTAATTTTTCAAAATTTTAAGGTATCATTTATATTTATTGATCACTTTTAACAACTTCGTTTCTCTCTTAAAATTGTTCTAGGTTGGACTATAGATTACATGAGCACCTTTTGCAAGGATGAAATACTGTTTGGGTAAGACATTTTCATTGAAGCTTGTAGCTGTTTGTTAACCCTTAGTTAATTTAAATCAGGTTGATAGATGTAAAGTGAGCTCCTTCTACCTACCTGAAGCAGAAACAGTGCTAGGTGATACTCAAATCTCTGGGCACCCAAGAATACTCAAATTCTCTTGAAATAGGTGGCAATGTGAAAATAACAGCATTCTAGCCAAGGTAACACATTTTACATCCAGGACTGGCCCCTAAAGCATTTTGTATGATCCTTCAATATTCTGTGTTTCCTTTCCTACTGGCTGGATGGGAATAATTCAGCAGGGGATTTGGAGGCCCTAAAAGGCAGAATAGCCAATGGTCAGGTGATCCCAGGTTCCTGCATGAGTGAAGGCAGGCCCTTCCTTTAGACCCACATTGAACTATAACATGAGCAGTAAGTAACTCTACTTTGTGTTAAGCCACTATGACGTGGGGCTGTTTGTTACAACTGCAAGGACTGCTGTCCTTGATTAATGCACCTCACAGTGTTCTCCCAGGCTTAGTTTCTATGCTTGATTGAATCTCTTCCTGCTCATCTCCTATGTGACTTGGTGACACTTTGGTTGAAAGATTTCCAAGGACTAAGAATATGTTTATTATCAAACCAACTGATTATGAAAATAATTTGTATCTTTGAGTTATATGAAGGAGTGGGTATACATTTGTGCTTTGGGCCAATTTTATGTCTTTACAATAAAAATACATTAAGCAAGTAATATTAATAATTAATAATACCATATAACAATCTGTAAAGCATATATTGATATGTAAAACACTGTGCTAAGTACAAATATATAAGCACAATCCTCATAGCAATGCTTTGAGGTAAATGCTTGATTAACTCCATTTTACAGATGGGGACACTAAGGCTTAAAGAGCTTAAATAACTTACTAAAAGTTACATATGTGGAAATGGTGGAATGGAGATTGGAGTGAAAGTGTGCTAGACTCCAAAACCCGGGCTCTTAATCATTTTATTAACCATAATAGAGACATTAATTCTCATTCCTTCGACCTCTTAAGTCTCGCCATGATTCATGATGATAATTATGAGTGATGACTGACATTTCCGCATACTCAGTCACTACTGCTCTGTGCTCTATGCTTTATGTGAGATAGCTTATTACAGGTCTTCACAATCATCATATGAAACAGGCGTATTACTGTCTTTTATAAGTATATCTAGTGTATCTACTAGTTACAGTAAATACTCCATAAAAATAAATCAATCTCCAGCTTACAGAAGAGAAAGCTATAATTTAGAGACTAAATCACTGACCGTAGCACCTGTGGGAATGTTCTTTCAAAGAAAGTGCCTTGGGCATCATACGTCTTTCCATTTCAGTTTGCGCAGATTGCAACTCTTCAAAAGAAAAAAAATGGGAAAGGGGGAAGGTAGCATGGCATCCCTAAGTTAAAGAGGAAGGAATTTACATTTCCTAAGCTGAGTGTTCCACTAAGAGTTCTGTCTCCCAACTTGTCACCTCCAACAAATATACACACACCCCTTTATATTACTTTATTACTTTTGTGAATCAACAGAGAACCCAATTTTGCTAAAATCAAGGTGGCATAATTTAGCTTCCTGAGACTGGTCATAGTCAGCTTTCTTACTAACTTTGAGCAGGGAGGGAAAAAGCAGCAGACACAAGGAACTGAGAGGCTCTAGCTACATAGTCTGGCTCAGGCTTCTCTACCACAAAAAATGATGGGAAAAAGAAAAAGAAGCAGAAAAACAAAACCCGAGACAGAAGGTAGGAGGAGATACCAGAGCAGCTCCAGCTTTCAGCAAGCCGGCTCTGTTCCACTTCCTTTTGATTGTCCAGGAAAGCTAAGAAAAGTAAAAACAAGGCTGTGACTCTGTGAAAGCGGCCCCGTGGAAACGTTATGTTAAACAATTGGCCTGTGGGTCAATTGTGAAGGGCGCTAATGTGCGAGACCCCGATAAAGAGATTTGCACGAATGGCCACAAAGCATTTCATATTTAAATATGGATCCAAGTTTGTTCTGCACAACAGTATAAATATAACTAAGGTGGGGTGGAGAAGGAGATCTGGAAATCAGCCGATTTGAAGGAAGCCAACACAAACACTCCAACAAATGCAACATTTCGCACAGCCTTTGTGCTCGTTGCTTGTTGTTGGCATGAACTCATAAAAACAGAAAAAGGCCATGAAGTGTAATGGTTGAGATATTGCATGCCCTGGTGGTAATGAAATACACTGTTTATCTGAAAACAACCTTCTGGTCAGTGTGCATTGGATTTCTTGAAGGTGATGGTCTATTTTATTTTGTTTCTTGATGGTAGTAAAAGTCTAGAAAACTGTACAATATTTCACAAGGGGCTTAATTTATTTTATGTGGCTATCTCATCATGAGATAAGTAAGAGGAACAAAAGTCCCCAATCTTGAAGGCTTTTTTGTAACTAGGTATTTAACATAAGGGAATATATTTTAGCCTGTTTAGCAAATTCATACTGCATGAAAGGGTATTCCATAATAGACTAAGCAGGCCATATAAAATTAGTCAAGTTGGATGTGGTGCCTGAAAATATTTGGCAGAATTCCCTGGAAAGCCACATGTGAACATTTTTAATATATATTAGGAGGCAGAAAACAATAATTATCTTCTATTGAAGTTCCCAAGTGAGAGAAATGTATTTGTACAGTCCTTTCAAAGAAAACCCTCTGTATTGCCAAATTGTTGTGTTTGGGATGGTGGCCTTTCTGCTGTGGCTTGTGGCTTGCTTCTCATAGGAAAAGCAGACATTACACTGCTATTTCATGAGACTGCTACCTTGAGCAAGGTGTTTTTGCCAAGGGCTTTGGAACATTGGCTGATAAATTTCCAGAACAAATACTTTTGAAGCCTATGGGCATGATACCATGGAGAGTTTGGGCATAAAAACTACCTTGAGTGACTATTTCTCTACTCTATTTCTAACCTGGGTTCTTGGTTTGGGATAAATTGCGCCTCTTCTTTCTTTGTTTTTGAGATGGAGTTTCGCTCCTTACCCAGGCTTGAGTGCAATGGCACTATCTCGGCTCACCGCAACCTCCGTCTCCTGGGTTCAGGCAATTCTCCTGCCTCAGCCTCCTGAGTAGCTGTGATTACAGGCACACATCACCATGCCCAGCTAATTTTTTGTATTTTTAGTAGAGACGGGGTTTCATCATGTTGTCTAGGATAGTCTCGATCTGTTGACCTCGTGATCCACCTGCCTCGGCCTCCCAAAGTGCTGGGATTACAGGCTTGAGCCACCGCGCCCGGCCACCTCTCCTTTATTTACTTCTTTCTCTGGAGAGGGTCACCTTTCACTCAGGGCACTCATATGTGTCTAAAACATTGTATTTTTTTTCTTTTTTGAGACGGAGTTTCATTCTTGTTACCCAGGCTGGAGTGCAATGGCACAATCTCGGCTCACCGCAACCTCCGTCTCCTGGGTTCAGGCAATTCTCCTGCCTCAGCCTCCTGAGTAGTTGGGATTACAGGCACACGCCACCATGCCCAGCTAATTTTTTTGTATTTTTAGTAGAGACGGGGTTTCACCATGTTGACCAAGATGTGTTCAATGTCTTGACCTTGTGATCACCCTCCTCGGCCTCCCAAAGTGCTGGGATTACAGGCTTGAGCCACCGCGCCCGGCCCTGCATTTTTTTTAGACCAGCCTGTGTTTTAGTGTGGGTTGCCAAAAACACAGATCCTGATAATAATTCAGTGTAAGTAGATTATTTGGGAGTGAATCCCAGGAAGCATATTGAGGGAGTGGGAAAAGTGAGAGAGCAAATAGAGAAAGCCAATAAAGGGTTGCAAAGAAACAGTCTGACTCTTCAGGGATTAGTCCTGCTGGACCCCTCTGGGCCACTGTGCGAAACAGCTGAAAATTATCCATTGTGGGGTAGAGCAGCTCAGGCATTTGGCCACCAACTCTGGTCCCTCTTGTGTAGAGGGCTGCTTCTAAGTTGTTAACCTTCTAGCTAAGACTTTCTAGCCTGCCTAGGTTGATAGACCATCCTCCCACAGCCTGAGATCAGCATTGGGCAGAGTGACACAGGGATAAATAATAAATCTGAATGGGAACTCCTTGCAGGCTCTCTTGGCCACGTGAATTTTGGTAGAAACCTGGGGTGTCAGATATAACCACCATCTCTGACAGTTAAGAAAGGCTCCTGGTCAAGGACAAAGCCCTTGTTTTTGATAAGCACCCAATATCTTTTCCTTTTTAAATTTTCCTTCATGTAACTCTTCTTAGTATTTTGGAATAACTAGGTAACTATAGCCTTTAATATCCTTAATTTCTGAAATAAGTAGTAATTATAGAATTTATCATTGACTGAGTGTTCATCCTATGTCAAATGCATTGACTTATTTAATTTCTTACAGCAACCCTATGATATAGGCATTATTATCTGGGATTTGCCCATCAGAAAACAGGCTCATGGAGGTTTCATTTCCCAAAGGACAGGGTCAGGATTTGAACCCAGGTTCATCTGAATTCAAAGTCCAAGACTTAACTGTGAAAACTCTTGTTGCCATCACCAAATTTGGATAAGATATATCTTCTAGCTAGATACAGGAGCTTTTGGAAGGGTTTGATGACTGATCTGGTAGCCAGCCTCCAGGATGGTCTTTAGTGGTCCTAACCTCCTGATACTCCAACTGTTGTACAATCCTCTTACAGTACAGGGCTGGCATGATCAATAGAATACTGTAGAAGCAACAATGTATGATTTCTGAGGAAGCATGGTAGCCTTTTGGTTTGTTCATGCTGAAGAAGCCAGCTGCCATGTCAAGAGGATGCTCAAGCAGCCCTGTGGAAAGGCCCCTATGGTAAGGATGTAAGGACTCCTGCCAGCCCCAGCACTAACCTGCCAGCAGTGCAGCAAGTTACCTTGGAAGTAACTCCTTCAGCTCCCAGCCAAATCTTTAGATGACTGTATTTCAAGGTAACATCTACAAAACATTGCTGAGAGAAATTA